TTCATGTCTCTTCTACATCAACATGTGTCCCCTCTTCTTCATGTCTCTTCTACATCAACATGTGTCCCCTCTTCTTCATGTCTCTTCTTCAGCAACATGTGTCCCCTCTTCTCCATGTCTCTTCTACATCAACATGTGTCCCCTCTTCTTCATGTCTCTTCTACATCAACATGTGTCCCCTCTTCTCCATGTCTCTTCTATTTGTTGGCTAGCGATTGAACTGTCAGATTTGCATAAACGGGATTTGATTGGCTGACGCTGGCTACTCCGGCGTCAGAAGTTGAACATTGTTCAACTTTTGCAGCCTGAAACGCCAGGAAAGCTCCGCTCTGCTACCCACAATTCAGTTCGGCGAAAAGCGAGGCAACGTGACGTCACCCCATTCAAAGTGAATGGGCAGACGCGTTGGAAACCGTTTTTGAAGCTGTCGAAGCTGTAGTGTGGACGGGCCGTAACAACCAACCAAACACATTCTCCTAAACATGCCGCTCTATTGAAGCTGCTTTAATCTGGAATAAACATGGCGTTGTGGAGGCGTGTGACGCAGTGGAGTAGTGCGTCGGTGTTGGGATCAGGGGAGCACAGGTTCAAACCCCACTGCAGTCAGCATGTCGTTGTGTCCCTGAGACGCTTCACCCCAAATTGCTCCTGTGGGGATTCTCCACAGTATTGAGTATGTAAGTCGCTTTGGATAAAAGCGTCTAAAAAGTAACATGTAATGTGTTATTTTTAGTTTAAACTAAAGTTTGTGGTTTAGTTTAAAAAGTAACTTCTCACCTTTCATATGCTCCAGAATTGCAGCATAACCGGATATGTACAAATGCATTTAATGGCTGAGAGAAAGTGTTGTAATTTGAGTGGAAGCTGTATCCGTGCTGTAATAGGAGCATGTAACACTGCTGTCTTCACACTCAGAGTGTTTGACAGCGTGTCAGTGCTGAAGCCACAGATCCTCCCACAGCTTCAGCCGCCTCATCCTAACAAGCCTCTAGAAGTGAACCTGTCTCTGCGCTGACTGACGGAAACACTTCGGCCTCACTATAGAGACCAACGTAAGCTAATTACCAGCATTGTCATTAGCTTATCTTCAGTGTGTGTTGAGTACCGGTCCGCTGGGTGTCCTTCTGTCTGAGAGAGGACCAACAATCCACAGCCAGTGAATATTAAAGGTGACTGTGCGTCTGCCGATTAACCTTAATTGCAAATGAAACCTGGGAGGCATTCTTCATTATAGCGGCATACACTGGAGCTCAATTCAGATGTTTCAGCCTGTGACAAACAGCTCAGTGGGGACAGGCTCTGCTTATTTCTCAGCTTTTCACAGCTAGTTCCAATTTCCCTCGCTCCCTAAAACATTGCATTAGAGGAGAGATTGGCTCCTGAGAGACAGTCTGTCTCCAGAGAAGGTCATAATGTGGAGAAATGGAGGCAGGCTGGAGTTTCTTTCCCTTATGAGAAGGATATCAGAGCGAGGAAAAAACTGTTCAATCAGGAAGGCGACTACCGTTACGTTCATTCATTCTCCATCTACTTTACTTCTCCTTTAGCAGAGGCAAAACAAGTACTCGTGTTTTATACTATACATTGTAAAAATACTCTTTTACTAGTCCTGCGTTCAAAATCGTACTCAAGTAAAGCACTTAAAGGTGGGGTAGGTAAGTTTGAGAAACCGGCTCGAGATACAATTTTTTGTTATATTCCATGGAATGCTCTTAACATCCCGATAGCAATGAATATCTGAAGTGCTTTGACAAAACATCCATAAAAAATGTCATCTGTGGAAGCCGTGGCGCTGTAAAAAGCACGACCAATCATCTGAGCCGGCCCGGCTAAAGTAACTGGATGGCCGACCTGCCTGTCAGCCTACCATCTGTGCACAAACTGATCTCGTGCCCTCATTGGTCATGTGCACGTTCGTGTGTGTTGGAGGAGGGGCTCTGTAAGGAAGTGTATTTTCAAACTCTAGCGCACTCGAACCGGTTTCTCAAAATTACCTACCCCACCTTTAACTAAAGCACTTATTAAGCATTGTGGCCCATTTCAGAATCATATTAATTTACTGGATCATGATGATTGACACATTTAAGTTTATCACAGATGGTAAAGGTGGAACCCATTTAATAACTTAATAAACTGTTGCTGGATATTTTAAACTATAATAATATGTATAAGTGTAATTATTGGTTGATTCATATTTTGAATTAGCTAATACTCTGAGTCTATAGTTACTAAAGCTGTTTGGATATTCTATTGGAGTTCAAATGTACATTATTGGCTTCCAAAATGTAGGGGAGCAGAAGTAAGCATAAGACAAATACTCTTAAAATACCTCAACAGTGTACTTAAGAGTAAATGTACTTAATAACATGTTACTACTGTCTTTGAGCCTTTAAGATATCATATCACAATGGGGTCTAATGGCCAACAAATATTCACAATTCCAACATTGTGCACACATCACTGAATACTTTCAAAAACGCAGTCCCTCCTGATTGAAGTTCACCTCCGAATGTATCGAGATCTTTTTGACTCAAGTCTAATAATTCATTTCTCACCAGCATTAATTCAGCTGTTCCTGTTCTGCCTGCACTGGAAGATATTTCATCTAGGTGTCTTTTTCTGCAAATCCCAAAGAAAAGTTTTACCCTCATGTCAAATAACACGAAGGGAGTTATACTCCTCGGGGAGAAGAGTTGGACAGACTGTGTCATGATCAAAAGAGTCTGAACACCGCTCCTTCTTCTCCTTCTCTTTGCCGATGAAATGTGAGACGGATAAGGAGACTATATTAACACTGGCAAGCTGTCTCCAAGTTGACGGACAGCTTTTGAAATTGGTGGTTTTGAACTAAATGTATCACAATGTTTCTTGGAGTGAGCTTGTTGTCGACGGTGTCACATTGCCATTACAGTCATTTAGTTGATGTGCCGGTTCCTACAGTGAGTGTCGCAGTAACATAAATTCCCAAATCACCAGAATCACAGTCTCAGTCTGAAGGAGGCGTCCAGAAGGAGCTGAGTGGGCGGAGGGACACAGAGTTTTTGGAGATGAGAGGGCAGACTGCACCTCTGTGAATCTTCCATCGCTTGTTGAAGGCAGTGAGAGAAAACCTGAACCAATAGAGGATACAGGAGGCACTTACACCCCTCTGAAGGTCACCTATTATGCAAAATCCACTTCTCCATGTGTCCCCTCTTCTTCATGTCTCTTCTACATCAACATGTGTCCCCTCTTCTTCATGTCTCTTCTACATCAACATGTGTCCCCTCTTCTTCATGTCTCTTCTACATCAACATGTGTCCCCTCTTCTTCATGTCTCTTCTACATCAACATGTGTCCCCTCTTCTTCATGTCTCTTCTACATCAACATGTGTCCCCTCTTCTTCATGTCTCTTCTACATCAACATGTGTCCCCTCTTCTTCATGTCTCTTCTACATCAACATGTGTCCCCTCTGTGGAAATGTCTCTTCTACATCAACAGTTGTCCCCTCTACTTCATGTCTCTTCTACATCAACATGTGTCCCCTCTTCTTCATGTCTCTTCTACATCAACATGTGTCCCCTCTTCTTCATGTCTCTTCTACATCAACATGTGTCCCCTCTTCTTCATGTCTCTTCTACATCAACATGTGTCCCCTCTACTTCATGTCTCTTCTACATCAACATGTGTCCCCTCTACTTCATGTCTCTTCTACATCAACATGTGTCCCCTCTGAGGAAAGAGACTCTGAAAGTTTCAGGAACAAAGATTCTCTCTCTTTTTGTCCTGATCCATTTCTATAAAAACCTGTCTGAAAATGAGCTGATCAGATTTTGGCCACTTACTTCAGAGACATGTTCTGTATATATCTGAGACCTGTAATATATTGATGAAAAACAGTATAATAGGGGAC